TAAATTAAAGTTTTTTGAATTCCTGAAAATAATAATTTTACGGTCACTAGATACTTAATAAATCAAGGTATTAATTTATCGAGTTTGGGAATCGAAAACTTGGTCTATATTGAAAGAGGAGAGAATTCAAACGGAACTTGAAGTCATGAAATCGACGTCCGGTGGCTGATCTCCACTGATTTGATTCCACAGTCAGTAACTATTTCTTCGGAAAGCCAATCCGTCATTAGGTCCTTTGAAAGTTTTGAAACCTACGGACGGACTAGCGAAATCAAGGCGGACTTAGATGTCGAAACTGATTACCTCACGTCATCCTGGGATTTCAGTTTTAAGATTTCCATTCAGTTTCCAGTCCGGGAAGATTGTGAAGCCTCCTGTCGGTAAAGGATGGTATTTCTACCTACACCGATGGCTCAAAGATGCAAAAAGCTGTCGGCTCGCCAAGGAACTTCAAATAACGCAATCATATCGCCTGCCTGATAACTGCGGTGTCTTTTAGGCGGAGATTTTTGCCATAGAGAAAAGGGCTTGCCTCATGCGGAATAGTAAGTCTCTGTCAGGGAACGTCACTATATTCGTTGACTGCCAGCGGATTCAAGGTAGTAAAGTCGAAAGAAGTTCGGAAATTTCGTGCAACACTGACTTCACTGAGTCACGCCAAAACCTCTCTCTGCTTGGTTCCTGTGCATAGCAATTTAGAAGGGAACGAAATAGCCGATGAGATGGCTAGAAACGGCTCGAATAATTCCCGATTGTCACTGATTACTTTTCTGCTAAGGACGGTTGAATACACCACAGCCGCAACTAATGACCTATGGATTAGTTGGGCCGACTGGGCGATCTCAAGATGCTTGTAGTCGAGACACAATAAGAGTCGTGCGAATAATTAAACAAATCTGCAGTAAGGCCTCTTACCGGCGTCATCAAAGGGCACTGGGCTATAGCACCGATGATCCGTCGATGGCGTATACCAACAAGCTCCATCTGGGGAATTTGGAGTAACCTCGGTGAGAAGGATATGCCTCCTCTTGGCACTCCACTTAATTGAAATTTTACGAGTAACTCGCGAATTTAATCGCTAAAATGTGGCAGCCATTTTTATTTTAACTTAAACACAAAGTCTCCACCTCAATCCCAGGTAATTGTCATAAATAATAGCAACCACTTACGTGCATACCAACACACAAACTTACATATGTACATACATATGAATAAATTCATGCCACAACAGCCAGCAACAACAATCATGTGCAAACATGGCGACGACGAACTGAAGACGGCCAAAACTGTTGCGCCTGTCTCGTTACGAATTTAACATTTTAATGGCAACTGTAAAGCGTCCGTACTTGTGCAGAGAACTTATAACTTACTGAGAAGATGCAAACAACAAATGGAAACTATTGAGTGTCGGAACTTAACAGATTTAGAAGGTTTTAACCACGGAATCCACTTTTTGCAGATTTTTTGGTGGTGGATTCTGTTAAATTCGCTGTTAGCGGCACAAAATAATGTCTAGCAACATGTATATTGATATACTCCGTGTTGCAGGGTAGTAAATCGGAATTCTGATATTTTTACTTAATATTGCCAATTTTTAATTATTTTTTTAATTTTTGCTTTTTTATATGCAAAACAATTATAATGATAAGAAACTAAAGTTTTGAGCGATAAAGCGAATTAGAACCGGAATTATTTGATAAAAAACCATTCCGATTAATTGATGCCCAATACCATTTGCATATTTTACATATTCCATAGATTGTTCATTTTTTAGGTACATACATGTATTAAAAATGTTTTTTGACCAATTTTAGTACTTTTTTGGTATATTTATCTTTAAAAAAAATATATTTGGCAAAAAAAATCGAAATCATTGAAAAAATTATGTACATGCAACTGAATAAATGAATTGAAACAGAAAGTATTTACAAAGAAGTTTTTATTAATTTTTCGCAAATACATATAGGTATGTGGCTATGAAATATTTTTCCGTAACTAAAATATCATAGAAGCATATTATGCTGCCCGACCTCTTATGGGATTTTTTATGCATATATTTTATAAATACAAATCAATTTATAAAATATACCCCAAAGGTAAAATAAAAAAAGGAAAATTTAATTACTTTAATAAAATAGAAATGAAAAAAAAAAATTCTCCAACTGGGATTTGATCCCCAGCAAAAATGCAACACGCGAAAATAATCCTGCGCCTCTAGCGCATCCACCACACAACACATTGAAATTCGAGCGCCTAAGCAGTGCTTTATGATGTCGTTCAATTTCATGCGCAAGCTTACGACGCTCAAATTTCGTGGAATTGTGTGTGCAGAAAACCACCATTGTTTTGCCAAATTTTATTAGTTGATGAATATTTTGATGTTTAATGAAGAAATTGAATATTATCTATCAACATTGAAGAAATATTAAATTAAATGGTTATGATCATATGTTTAATTTAATATTTACTTGTGAATAATACATAGATATAAATGTGCATATGAACAGGTAAACAAACTATGTGCATACATAAATACATATATGTATGTACATATGCATATGCGTACATAATTGAATAGTGTTCATGCAAACAAAAATGCAATCGCTTCTAATTACTCTAATCAATCTATGAACATCAAAAACCAAATACATATAAACTTATGTATGCACATACATACAAATACTACAAATGAAAACATACAGACACTGCGCTTACTATTCCCCGAACTCCCGCTTCTCACGAGCAAGACATTCATTCATAAACGTAAAAACTACCATTCATAAATTCGTGCGCACCTTGCACACTTGCCCCGCTACAAACATGAGCCGTCCACAAGTTGATTTGCGTCGCGGCGATGACAAAATCTAAAAATCTAAAATTTTATCAACCACCGCGTCGGTTGGAAAAGTGGCAACAGCGGTCAAAATCCCCCTTCCCTTTGCACACTTCTTTGATCTAAATAAAATATTTTTTCCGTTGGTTATTGAAATCATGCATCTGCGCCGACAAGTGCGCAAAATCACTTCGCTTTTGTTTCCCCCGTCTTGTCTACGAATCTTCTTCTTCTTCAATAACTTCGATGGCGGTTGAAATGCAAAAAATTCATTTCAACCACCAAATTATTCTTTACTTTATTTTAGAAATAAAATTCATAAAAAACCACCGCTTCGGGTAGGATATGAACCCTGACAACAACGTCAGCAAAGCATCATTAATTACCACGCATCAACCAACTATGCCACAGCACTTATTGAAATTCGTGCATCTTACTGGCTACATGTACTATCGATTTTGCAAGTACGAATATCCAAAAATTTTTGTATTTTCGTTGACATATCTACATTTACGTACCAAAGAATATATGTGCGTAAATGCTTTTTCGCTTGTATGCATAAAGAAAAATGCCATCAGATACCTAGCAAAACTTATCAAAATTTTATCCAAAATTAAAAAGAAGTTGATTTTATTAACATTTCTTTATTAGATTAATATGTATATGTATTTAACAATAACAAATGAATTTGGCTTAATATTAAATTATATTAAAATATCAAATGAAATTATAAAATACACCTGAAAAGATATGTACAAAGAAAAGACATCTGAAATGAAATAAAATAAAAACCCCTGAAAAAAAATTTAAATAAATATAAAAATTAGTAAAAAATATAAATTTTTGATAGTAATAAAACACGAATTGCGAATATGCTTGGCTCTCGCCTTAAAGCAAATTCTCACACGATCTTATCAATTTTTATATTGATGATCACCTTGGATTTTAACCAAGCTTTCACCAGTTTTTTCAAAACATGATACAATATACATATGCATATACATATATACACATTATATACTTATGTATACGTATATATATATATATAAGGTTTTAAAAAACTTGGCTCGTGTCCAGAGGTACTACTACTACTCATGCAACTACGACTATAAATTACTCTAATGCTATAATACTACTAAGGGATACTCTAAATATATATCACACTACTAATTACTAATACGATTAATTAGTAATACAATTTACTAATATACAAATATGTACATACTAATAATTCATATAAAACAAAGTAAATTCAACTATACTAATATACAACTAAACAAAGCTAACTAACTACAAATGTAAAACGCGTTCACGCTTTTTTTTGTTTTTTTATTTTTTTTTTTGTTTCTTTTTGTTTTTTTTGTTTTTTTTTGTTTTTTTGTTTTTTTTTTAATTTATTTTTTTAGTTTTTATGTAAATATAATATAAAATGAAATACATTTCAATAAAATAAAATTCAATACATTTCAGTAAAACAAAATAAATTAAAATAAAATATATACATTTCAATAAAATAAAATAAATTAAAATAAAATATATACATTTCAATAAAATAAAATAAATTAAAATAAAAAATATACATTTCAATAAAATAAAATAAATACATTTCAATAAAAAAAAATAAAATCCAATCCATCCAAGCCTCTCGGGCTAAACGAAGCGGGCTATAGCTAGCAACTTACATACATATTTACATATTTAAATCTATTTATTCAATTTTTGCAATTTTTTTTGCTTACGTTCTTTAGCGGCTGCTGTATGGACTTCCGCTGTTTGGCGAGCTAACCATTTAGAATTTTTATATAAAAGGACAGTGACTAAAAAGTCTAAGAATTTATCCCGATGCTCGGAGCATTCGCCCGCTTCGAGAAACCATTCGGGATAAATTACAAGGGTTCTACTGCGTATAGCAGAAATTATTAAAGCTTTAAGATCAGGTTTGTGGGCATTTTGGGAGAATATGTCGTTATACAAAGACATTTGCATACGACATATCTCGAATATACGATCATTGGGGTTTAAAAGGCGGAGATCGTCAGGGTCTTTGAAATTTTTCGCTCGAATAAGGGCCTCTGAATTTTTATCTAATGGATTATCTAATTTCATCATAAGATGAAGACAATGGCTACATTTTAACTTTAATAGTACCTTTTGGTAAATGGCATACCCTGTGTAGTACCTTTGTACTTGAATTTCGGCCGGTTTTTGTGTTTGAGCGAAATGGTCATCGGGGATCTCGATATCTTCGAGAGAAATGGGTTCTGGGGGGTCCAGGGTAGCCATAAGAGCTTGCTCTTGAGGTGTATTCCAGTCCAGGTTAAGGTCGTCATCTTCCTCGCAGTTACTACCTGTTTGCGAAAATTTACGCCGTAAAATGTGCATCGATATAAGACGCGCAACGATAAATTGCATTTCATATGCAGAGGGGTGGGTATTAATGCCGGAAGAAGCTCGGACTTTATAAAAAAAATTTTCAAGCGCATCTTGATTTAATTTACCCAGAAGTATAAAGGAGAGGTTTTTATGTTCCTCGAAAATTTCCGCCGAAACCGAAAGCATAGCTTTAAGGGTCAAAATGAAGCCGTCAAGGCATTGGACAAGAGGAGAAGGTTTTTTAATACGTTTAATGAAATTAATGTGGTCGTTAATGCGATCAATTTTATCATGGGAGTTTCTGAATAGCGGGCGTTTTAGAGGATTTTTGTGAAACAGGGATTTGCAATCTAAATCATCGAAGAGATCGTTAAATCTCTTACAGAACTTCTGGGTAGCTTTTGCACAGTCTTTGACATACTGATCATTACCGAAAAGGTTCTGATCGTATGCCATCTCGATACCAGCAGCAACTGAGTTGCTTAAAACTTGCGTGGCACGAGAGACGCTCATTTTATCGAAATTACCGGGATAAATATGAGCGTCGGTCAATTTCGGACAAATTTTAAAATTTACGTTGGCTTTATCAAGTGCGTACACTTTTCTAATGACACGAAAACTAGCTGTGCCATCCGCAGTTTGGAAGTCGTACTTAAGGAAAATGTTGCGGATGGACTTAATAAGGTGGCAATAATCAAACAGAAAATGAACCCGTTGGCCATTATGCTCGAAATAGGGGGCTTCGGGAGTGATATTGAGCAAATGGACAAGCTGTAAATTGTGAGCACCCTGATCACATATAATAGCCCTTACACTGAGACCAAGTGTTTGGGCAGAATCTATATTGCTTTTCAACAGGTTCATTAGAAGGGGGGCCTTAACCCCTTCTTTTGCTATAGAATAAGACAGTACGTACTTCCATTTTTTTGTGATCCCTTTGATCATAAAAAAGAGGTACTTATTGCCAATGGTATTTTGACGGAGACCGGCTCCGTCATCAACAAAACCATCTATGAGGTCTCTGGTTTTGTTGTATGTTAGATCGCCTTTTATACCGATTTCATCAAAAATTAATGTACAGAGCCGTTCGCTCTCAGACATGTCCTTGACAATTTTACTCAAATTATCAAGGACGTTGGTTTGCAGCCCAGGGGCTACAAACCGAATGGGGCGCCAACGTAAAAGGGTAGTTTTATGGGGGAGGGCAAAAAGGAGGTCATCGCGCATGAAATTATATGCCTTAGATGACATATAATTAAGGTTTTGGGCCAAAATCTTTTCCTCCTCTGCATATGAATGCCGCGTATTCGTTATCATTTTCGCAAATTGTACGGCGTGTTCGCTGGCATCCACTGCGGGAAAGATGGCGCCCTTTTCAAGGTCAGAATATTTTTTTTTTAAGACTTTGAGTTGGGATTCAAGGTCTTGAATTTTTTTAAGGAGTTTGGTTTCATTCTGCTGATAGCCACGGCAAATCTTACCGAAATGCTCATCGCTAACAGCAGGTGGGTCTCTAATTGAAACTTGTTCAATTTTCTCATCTAAAAAAACTTTCTCACAACGCTTTTTCCTATCTTCAAGGTCTGAATAAAGGGCAAATTCTTCTAAGGTCAACTCAGCGTTGGAGTCCTGGACTGGATCGCAGTAAGTGCGCTCAACGGGGTGCATGACCCAATTAGAAGAGGAGACGCTATTAACGTCAAAGGATTCCTCTATACCTACTTCTACTTCGGTATTTAGCCGCAAAACAGGGAAGGCTCCATTCAGCAGCCGCTTTGTGGAAATAAAATCTTTATAAAAATGAAGTTCGCAAATAAATAACTTCTTCTCTTTACTTAAGGGCAACTGTAAGTTGCAAGCTATAGCCCACTCGTTTCTTGCGACCTCAGTCTTCGGAAACTCGAAAAGTTTCCTCTTCTGGTCTGAGGTGCAACCCTTGACGCAACAACTTCTACTCAGTTGCACGGGATGATACGGGTGGGGGGGGGAGTCTTGCGGAACCTACAATTAAGGTAATATGTTATAATGGATCTATACCCCTAAACCATGAAATTAAACGGCATTAAAATCAACCTAGCAGGAGTTATCTACAATAAGGGACATATATTTCACATATGTATGGACGTATGTTTATGTATACGGCGCTACATATACATATATTCATACATATGTGCATATACACATATAAACATGTAACAAGATATACATTATAAATACATTCACATTCATACATTTATTTTAATTTTATTTGTATTTCAATTTTGTATTATTTTACTTAAATTTATTTTATTTTTCTTTATTTTATTTGTATTTATTTAAATATATTCTATTTCATTTTATTTGAATTTATTTTATTTAATTTTAATTTATTTAAATATATTTTATTTTATTTTATTTTATTTGAATTTATTTTATTTTATTTTTCTTTATTTTATTTTAATTTATTTAAATATATTCTATTTCATTTTATTTGAATTTATTTTATTTTATTTGAATTTGTTTAATTTTAATTTATTTAAATATTTTATTTTATTTTATTAGAATTTATTTTATTTTATTTGAATTTATTTTATTTTATTTTAATTTATTTTATCTTATTTAAATGTGTTTTATTTTATTTTACTTGAATTTATTTAATTTCAATTTAAGTCAACATACACCATCTCGCATTAAACCAACACCCCTAATGTATACATATGTGCATACAAATGACTACATATTTACATACATACGAATGTATACACATATGTACACACCTATAAATGCATTCATGCAACTAAATATTGAGACTTACCCAGATGCAGAGTGGGCACCGCATTCCTCTTCAGCAGCTTCGGTCCTACTGCCTCCTCCTCGAAATGGTGCTCGCATATGAAGGCGTTGGTGAACGCAAAGTGGCCATCAGCAGGGGTGACTCCAATGTTGTCCTTCCACTTCTTGGCCAGATGAGGATCCTGGGGGAAGGCGAACATCCTAGTCTGGGCGTTGGAGCTGCTGCAGTCGCGAACGCGACATTTCCGAACCGGCGGCATTTTAAGAAAAACTTTGCGAAAATACGACCTCTTTCAAGCGACGACAAGAAAGATTTGACGAATGTCAATATGTGGCGCAATTATTGGCATTTACATATGTACATACTGTATATATCCAT